ACGGTCCGATATGCACAGATATCGAAAGGAACCGAGAACTTTGGGTTATAAACTTAAATGTCAAGTTTCAACAAAATTGGATAAAAATTGTGACCTCTATAGGGTCCACAACCTTGATATACCATATTTTTACGCTATTTGAGAACGAAGGGTGGCCATTTTGTCTGTCAGTTTTGGGCCGATTTTCACGAAATTCGAACTCAGCCGTCCTTAGGTTGTAACGGTGATATAATAATACGTTTTTTTTTAAATCGGATAAAAATTATGACCTCTATAGGGTCCACAAACTCTAAAACGCAATTTTTCGTACAATCAAGGGCCATAATTCAGGAAGTTACGGTCCGATATGCGCGAATATCGAAACGAAAAGAACCGAGATCTTTGGGTTATAAACTTACATTTCAAGTTTCAACAAAATCGGATAAAAATTGTGACCTCTACTATAGAGTCCACAAGCTAAAAACGTGATTTTTCGTACAATCAGGGGCCATAATCCATGAAGTTTCGATCCGATACATGCCAATATCGAAAGCAGCCGAGATCGTTTGGGGATAAACCTATATTTTAAGTTTCGTCAAAATCGGATAAGAATTGTGACCTGTAAAGAGTCTACAAACAATTGTGGACGTCCGGACGGACAGGGGCGACGGCATAAACGCCCACATGAAAATGTGGGCGCAATAAAATTGTGACCTATAGGGTCCACAGGCTGAAAACGTGATTTTTCAAACAATCAGGGGCCATAATCCATGAAGTTATGGTCCGATACATGCCAATATCGAAAGGATCCGTGATCTTAGGAAGATAAAGCTATATTTCAAGTTTCGTTGAAATCGGATAAAAATTGTGACCTGTAGAGTGTCCACAAACAATTGTGGACGGACGGACGGACGGACAGGGGCGACGACAATATACGTCCACATGAAAATGTGGGCGTAAAAAAATGTTTGTACCATGTACGGCGAAAGGCGACTTACATCAGTAGATGACACTAGAAGAAAGATTTTCTGGAGGAATTTTAATTGTGATGAAAAAAAACAAACCTTTCTTTCTTTATTACCATCTTGCCTGAGTAGTCTTTTGCTGCACATTAAACGCAACAATTATGTTGCAACAATATGATCGAACAAGATGATCCTGCGATACAAGGCTGGAATGAAGATTTACAATGTGAAGCATATCCAAAGGATATATGCGAGCTGTTGATTAGCTACCAAGAAGATATCTATCCCGCTCATATTATGAACTTTGATTTTGAATCTTCTGATGAAGACTAAGAAAAAACTAATATGTACTTTTCCAGATCTCTTGCAAAGTTACCATTATAATTTAATATTTTTAATGACGAAATTGGTACTGAACGAAAAAGCAATCTGTTTAAAATACAGATGTATATTTCGTTTCATTGTTTTATACTTTCGATGATCTACACTACATGAAGATCTGACCCGTTGTACTGAGGGGTCGCGTCAGGGTCATACGAGCGGCTTTTGACCCTATGACGTCAGACACTGATTGATCAATCAGCGTTGACGTTTCTAGGGGTTTACCGACAGTTCCAAGAATTCGACGTAACAGACCGCTTCATTAGCTAATTCGTCACATCAACTAGACCGCCTGTTATATAACAACTCTTCCAGATCCTAGTGTTGTGATGACAAGTAAAACGACATTTTGAACTAAAAAACGAAACGAAATAGCATCTGTGTTTTAATCAGACTGAACGAAAAAGATAACGAGAACATTTTTCAGGTCAATTTTGAACCACGTGGTTCCTCTCGCCAAAATTACATTTACGCCCCTCCCCCCCCCCTCCTCGCCCCATACAATGGGAATCTTACACACATATTTAGAGATGTGCAGCGGAATTAAAAAGAAATGTTTTTACCAAGCTCTAAGAAAATCATCATTTAAATCATCGTGAACTCATTTCCCGCCAATTTCACCCCCCCCCCCCTGCCATACACACCCACCTGCTACCCCCACCCCACCTCCCCACAACTCAAAACAGTTGTCCTGGGGCATCATATAATGACATCCCCCCCCCCCAATTGTAGACATTGGACGCCCCATATCTCGAATATGCCCCTCAAACGCCTGATCACCACCCAGATTCGGAATCTACGCAAAAAAACTGGTCTAGAAAAACTTGGTCTCATAAATTCACAGCTCGAGTGGCGATTCCCCCCCCCCCCCCGTTCAGTCACCAGACTATAAGTATGACATCAACCAGTTATGAGCCGTTCCAGTGATACTGAATTCATATTGGAGCCGACCAGGAAGGATCTGGTGATCGACGGTGTCAAAAGCAGCCGAATGGTCCAATAGAGTGAGTACTGATATATCACCACTGTCAACTGAACGTCTCAAATCGTTTACAACTCTCAGCACGGTAGTTTCTGTACTATGTCCAGAGCGATAAGCTGATTGAAATGTATCCCAAAGATTGTTATTTGATATGTATGTACACAGTCTGATTTTGACAGCTGTCTCTAAAAGTTTTGAGAAAAACGAAAGATTTAAAACAGGGCGAAATTTTTTAAAAACATTTCGATCAAGTGAATCCTTTTTAAGTAATGGATGCACAATGGCCTGGTTAAAGATTTCAGGAAAAAATTCGCTTCGCATGCTATAATTTACTATGGAAGTTATGACAGTCAGAAGCGTATCCAAGTAGTCACAAACAATGGTACATGGAATGGGATCCAATGGACACGTTGTTTTCTTTGACGATAAGACTAACTTTCGGATTTTTTCCTCGGCAAATAGATAAAAGTCAGTCAATGGCTCCCGCCCTGACTTGTCTGTAAAAACAGACTTGAGTTTGAGCAGAACGATTGTCCAACTGTCGTTTTATTTTTCCGATCTTAGAGATGAAAAAATTAGAAAAGTTATTTGCTAACTCAAAATCACTAGTTGAATCAGGAAGTTTTGAGTTCGGTCGAACACCTAGTATAGATTGCATAAATCCGTGAAATTGCCAATGGCATAAAAATTGTTCCTACAGTAACGGGCTTTCTCATTCCTTAAGGTTTTGCTGATATTGTTTCGATTTGATTTGTAGATTCTGCGGTGAACCTCCAGGTTGGATTTACGCCATTGTCGATTTGCCAACCTGCGTTGTAAATTAGCTTTCTTAACGTCCTCGGGGATAACGGTGGCTAAGTGGGTAAGATGCTGGCTCGCTAGCCTGGAGGTCGGGTTTTTGATCCCTGCATTGACCGAAAAAGTTCATCCAGAATTTCCGGCGTGGTTCCCCCTTGTCAGTGATGCAGGACGGAGGACCTGGCAAGGGCAGTTGTCTAGTCGTTCGGATGGGAGGAAAAACCGAGGTCCCTTGTACACATTGGCGTGTACGTAAAATATCCCTTGACAGTTGGAATTCGATATAAAAGTAGGCCGTAGTACCGCTGTCCGGGCTAAATTTCCCTCACAGCACACTGTATGGCGTATGCCCGTCTTCATTAGACCAGTAAGGAGCAGAACAGTGGGACGTTAAACCCCATTTCATTTCATTTCATTTCTTAACGTCCTCATTATACCATTTTTAACCTGGTCTTATAATGATCTCTTTCTTAACTGCTGGAGAATGTTGTAAAGATCACATAGTTCTTTAACACTCTCTGGGGTTTCAATCAGTAAGTCTGGGGATTGTAGGTCACCGATGAATACAAATCTATTATTTCGTCATATCCCACCTTATGATGATAAGGAAGTGTTCACGTCATATTTGTATATCACGCACTTTTACATCACTGATCAAGATACAGGTCTCAGGTGAAATTACTAGGCCAAAAACCTGACCTAATTTATGTGTTGGAGTAGCGACGTGTTGGGTAAGACTGTACGCCTGCAGAAGTTTCCTGAATTTAACTGCTGTTGCATTGGATACATCATCATAGTGGATGTTAAAATCACCCAGAAATACAGTATTGTTCTTCCAATGACTGCTGAAAACGTTGTCAAAATCTTCAAGCGTCTCAGTTAGGGAGACAGTGTTTTTCTTTGAAAGAGGCGGTCGGTAAAGACACACAACATGAGCAGTTGTATTATAGGAGCTGATATTTACATGAAGTGATTCAAAACCACTATAGGTCCAGGAAGTATTATCCAAGAGTTAAAGTTTAAGAGTATTTTTAAATATCACAGCCAGGCCAGCCCCTGTGCGATTAAGTCTAGGTTTATGGTGGAGATCATAACCTTTCGGTGTTAGCTCCGAAATTTTAGCAAGTCCCTCTTCTAGAATCAAATCTGCCAAGTCTAGGGTTTTGCATATTCCTGAAGCAATGACCCGAGGGATCCCTCTGGTTAATTGGGCATAATAAAATCGTGAGTCATGACGTAACGTTATGTAAACATATTTTTGGTCCAATTTGCAGCTCTGTTTTAAGCGTGATGCTTTTGTAACGCAGTTAGCTATTGTTTGTTAATCGGACCATTGACCAGTTATAATTTGAAACAGAAATTTGCTTTCGTTAAAGCAGTGTTTAGTGGGGGTTAGGTATAATCAAACGAAGCACTGCGGGGAGTATGAGGGTTTTGTTGCGGCATGACTAACTATTGAGTAGGAATACTTTTAAAGATTTAGCATCAGCAGCTGCTGACTCAGTTGCAGAATATTAGTAGCATTTTTTTATTTATCACCCCTAGTACCTCTAAATGGTCTCAAAAGGTTAAATTCTTTCAAGGTATCAATCTTAGTTGAAAGTACAGAGTGTCTCTTTAAATTAAAAAGTTGTTTTCGTGAGTAGGTGATCATAGCAGGCTTCACATTTAAGTCATAAAACTGTTAACTCCATTGTTAATCCAAATAGTATTTAGTCTTGACAGTTCACAAAACTTATTACAGTTCAGATTCTAAAAATAGCACACACATGTCAACACTGAACTGAAGTTGACTATCCAACAACTTGAAAACATGATAAACCAAAGGATACTCCTAGAAATTATCCAATTTTTTGAACTCGTTAATCACATAGTTCTTATTTAATCCATACACAGCTTTCAGATATCACACTTTAAGAAATCAAGAGAAACACCACTTTCCACTCAGAGCAAAAAATAACCCAGTTGCAGCCATAAGGGGCGCACATAAATATTTGGTTCCCTGTTTTATGACAACCAGGATTAGTCATAAAAATGGCTTTGGTGAGTAGTCATATTCATATCCAGTTCACATTTTGAATATATTTATTACATAATGAATTATTCTGTATTTAGAAAAGGCTTGGATTCTAGCAATATGCGGTTTCTGTTTAATATCCTTGTCGATGGCTGATAATGATAATGGTTGCACAAAAACACCACCAAAAGAAGGTAAGATATGGACGTGTACTAACACAGTTGGATAGATTAAAATTTTCTAAAAGACATTGTGCACCCTATATAACCCGAAATCATTTAACTGCAACTCATGCAACAACTGATTCCATGGCCAAAATGAACCAGTTAGCCACCGCAGCCGTAAAATATGCAGGTTCCAATTTATTAGTATCTTTTAAAGGAGCTAAATCGCTAATATTTGGGACCTAGAAATTGACACAAAAAGGACGCAACGCATATAATAATGTAATATGAATGTATATAAACTGATTTACATTGAATCGTTTCTGTTTTTACTGTAATTTCTAATCAGTTATGTTCGGCGAAATGCGCCAAAGTCTCAATTAAATGGTTATTCCAGTTTACACCGATGGTATTTATTGCGCATGCTCTCCAGATAAGAAAATAGCGTCACCATTTGACAGGACTTGTGGAATATGTCTAGCTTCGTTCTTTGAGTCCCTTGTTCCAAATGGCGCTGAAACGCATTATGGTACACGATTCGTGTACCAATGGTAAAATGTTTATTTTGTCTTGAATAGTGGATATCAGAAGCCCATCTTTTCCCTGTAAGATAACAAGACCAATGTTGATTTGAATTGACAAATAATTCGTTTTTTCAATGTCGAAGATTTTTGATGATATTGAGTTAGAGACTTGGCTACTTTAAAAATAAGAAACAGTAGGATATCAGATTTCAGCGGTTCAAATCCTAATCACCAAAATAGTAGACCAGTAAATCTATGGAACAAACCCACTATGACCTGGAATAAATTTGCAGAAAGCTGGATTCAACTGTTTTTGTATCTAGGGTTCTTGCTTATCAAAAAAACAAAAATCTTCCAAAATCGGATTTGCGGGTCTATGCGAAAATCGATAATCAATCCAAGATGGCGGACGACGACGTGAAATGGCTTAAAATGTTAAATATCTCGGAAAGGAAGCGTTTTAGACCATATAAATGTACTATGAGTTAATATAAAAGTGATACCACTGAATCAGATGATGGGGTCAAATTGTTGCTATGACGTCATAGTGGCGTCATAACGCAATATCGAGTCAGAAAAGGAAGTAATTAAATATAAAGTGACGTCATAACGCAATTTCGAGTCAGAAAATAAACAAATTGAATAGAAATGGATTTTAATAAATTAAAGTAAGAATAAATGGAGGTACTATCACACTTTATATATTAAGTGTCTTATTTAAATCATACTGGTCTTCATTAGCCCAGTCGTAGCAAAACAGTAGGAGGTTAAATCCCATTTCATTTATTTAAATTATACACTATGGAATGTCAGGTAGTGCATCATTATCCTCTCCATCTGCATTAATATTAATGCTATTATCACAACTGTCCGTTTGACACGAACCACATGCGCTAGTGCAGGAGAGTCCGTATCGTCGACACCCACATCTCATACTGGCACAGTGTGTGGTGCAGTTACAGTGAACTATTCGTCCGGTGCATAAAGTTGATCAGTCATGATTGGTAAAAGTAAGAGTTTATCATTAGACATGTTCCTTCCCCAATCAGTCAGCACCATATCACCAGATACAGCCTTCCAAGTCATTATTTGGTGGTATGTTCTCAAGCTGTGAAATATCGTCGCAGACGCAGTCGGAGGCAACCGTTCAGGCGTGACAACGTTTTTCGACGAGAAGACCTTGCTTGTCAGCTGATTATGGCGTAATTTCGCTAAACTTTCTTCTTTGCTGTTGAATAACGTGAGCATTGCTTCACAGCCAGCTTTCGAAATTTCCTCCACATTCTTGCCACTAGTAGTGAACAAATCCGCAGATTTTCCTAGTTTAGTGGATTTCATAAGTTTGGAGAATGCCGTCGACTTCCCAATTCCGGAAATCCTTGATGTTGTGTCACACCCTGTAAAAGCGTGTAGAAACAGTAGTCGCTTACAAACACGTTCTCCCAGGATTTGTCTTACCAATGCTATATCATAAACCTTAATGTTATTTGCTTCTTTGTCCGTCCGAAAGTATAGTTTTTCTGACTCTACTGGGTCTTTTAAGTGGTACAACAGTAGAACTAGGAGATCAGTGTCCTCACCAATCACAGTTGTGGAATGTATCATCGCCGTGTTCACTGCCTCCAGTACAATGTCTAGGTCTGCATCTCCATTAGCATGGACAACTTGCCCTCCAGCTTTCTTAATCTCTGTTCCTAAAATCGTAATGAAGAGCTGTTTGTTGGACGAATTAGACAGAAATTCTTCCTTTTGCCGTGAAATATGCTATCGATAGTAAAGTGTACTTTATTAGATTTACAGGGATGCCGCCGTTCTTGTGTACAATATTTGGTCGTTGGTCCACTGTCGTAGCCATCAAAGACGATCGTTGTTTTATCTAGACCATACTTATCCAAGAGTTTCACATACGACTTTATTATTGAACCATAAGAACTATCTGGTGTCCATTTGATGCGGTGCAGTAATGAACCACCGTCCATAACATACCAGTCAGTGCTCGGTATATAATCTAAAATGGCTTTGTTGTCTTCAGCTTCTTCATTGTGAATAGACTTTGCGAGGGCTTGCAACAGTGCTGGTTTGTCGGGCGCCCTCATCACGTTTTTACTTTCAAACAAAGAAGGTGGGAACGGACAAAGTTCGTACTCCATGGCACCACTAAGTGACACTTCACCAGTCTGCGATACTACAAGGAGGCGTTGGAATAATGCAATTGGATTAATAGATCTATCTTCGTCTATTTTCAAGCTGGCAGTAGAAGCCATTGTAACGGCACGATCTTTACGCTTGAATGAGTAAGAGAAGACTTGTTTTCCTACCATTTTTTCCATAATTCTCCTGCCCACTTCTTTAAACTCAGTAACGTTCACTTGTGGATTGGCTTCCAAACCAGAGATGATATTCCTCAAAGAGGGATATGTGATCAAAGGCGTATAGTCGTTGAATTTGCCGAAAACCTTCGAAGAATCTTCTGCGTCACGCTTTATGCGACATGGCATCGTTTCTTTGTGCTGTTCGCTGGTTTCAAACATCTTTCCTGTGAATTCTTGCATTGCCTGATTATATTGAGAGCAAACAGGTGCCGACATTGTCCACAAGGCGATTTGTTTTTCAGTCATATTACTGCCTCTGGTTAAACCTCCTGAAGTCTTGAGGGCCCCCATGAGGAACTGTTCAATACCTAGATCCAATTCAAGCCCGGCCCAGAATTTTTCGGTTCTTCTTAACACGAAGAGTCCTTGTTCAAACATAGCATTTACTTTAGGTTGCGTGGTTTCTAATTTCGCCATATTTTGAAGGTACATATGTGCTGATTTTAGGTAGTTGAAATGTCCTGCAGCCCCAAAGATTTCCAGACAGTCGTACACAGCCGCTTTATGAATCTGCCAGTCACCCATTCTGTCACCTCGAACTAAATTTCGAGCTACTTGCATCATATATTGAAACCAAACCATAATTCACTCGTCTTGGATTTTGAGGACAATTAGTTCTTTTTGGAATTCATAACATCAAGTACTCGCATAAAAGTCTCATCTTCTGCCAGTGATTCAACGGTTTCCCTTCCATCCATAATTAACTCGTATTTCTGACTAAGAGTATCCATTGTCTGGCCGAAGTTTTCGTCGTCAACAGCTAAAAGCCTGATCAAATGTTGTGTTAGACATTTGTCAACTATTAGGAAACCGCGTAGGGCTCTTTGGACAGCTTTACCGCGCAGCATGTGTTCAACAGTGTTTTCACCATAAATGACTTGTAATACGTCTCTCAAACCTGCCCCATCCATTAGAGTCCCAATAGCGCCTAATAAGTTCATCAATGTATGAAATGATCCAAGCATCAACACAATATTTTTCAAATCATTATCATCATTCAAATCATTCAGAATTTCCGATGCCTTCCAGAATAATGGTTGGTCGAACGTTATAATGGCCGGAAGCTTGTAATTGCGAGCTAGGTTTGAGAGATATGACAATGTCGAAAATATACACGTTTTGTCACTAGAACGCATATCTATCATATTCAGGAAATACAACGAGGATTGTCCATGGTAAGCACGGTCTTTGTAAATCAGACTCATGCTTCCTCCCGAGTTGGGAGTATTATGATGAGGTTTGAGTTTCCATAACATATCAATCTTCGGGCAAATTGACACTTTCAGAAGAGCATCAAAACTAAGTTTTCGGGTCTGTCCCGAATGGTGGTAGTGTTTTATGTCAATTTTACTCTGACCAGTTACATCTAACTTCGCCATATCTATACGTGGAATTTTCTTAGTAATGTTGTTTCGTGGTGTTACTGCAGCGATCATCCCCATTCCATGGAATACACCTTTTCCATCTATCGTAATTTTATCATGATCGACATTATCAGCTGCAAACGAGAGTGCCATTTGTTTAGACATCGCCCCAATTGGCATATCCGCATCAGAGCAGGCAGCATTCATATTGAATCTGAGAACCTCGCTGTATGATGAGCAAAACCCCATAGTATTTAATGTATCGATAACATGTCGCTGTCTTAGATGGTAATGTAATTGGATCGCTAACCCTAGCTGTAAGGGTGCTATCACAGCCCGTGGTCTTATCGCCTGTACAATAGCTTGTCCTAACGATGCAACTTTTTGTTTAGTTTCCTTTCCACTGATCAAACCTTCGCAAAAGTATCGAACTGTGTCAGGGAGGAAATCAAGAGCAGATGCGAGACTTAGTTCGCTGGATTTTGGATAGGAATCATTTACAGTTTCAACATTAGATATTGTATCGTTTCTTAGGAATTTAATTGTAGCATTAATCATGGCGATTTTTTTAGCTTCGTCACTAGAATCAGTACTGGTATTGTCATAAAATGTGCGTAGAATTTTATGAGTTGTTTCTTTGAGAGTAATTACATCTCCGTGCCCCTCTTTCGGCGACAACACCAAAGAATCCCCGAAGTAAGATTTCAACTTTTCTTTCATCCACTTTGGACTGTACGAACCAATGTAAGGATGTTCTTGAAATGAAGCCATATTATCACAAAGTTCTAAGATGGTCCATTGTCTTTCATCATTAGTTTCGATTAGAGAGCACAGTTTCATGAAAGCCTCCGACTGTTCTTCATTCTCAGGGCGTCCTGGCCTTTTTCTTTTAATTTCAGGCTCACTTTCAAGAACGTTAGTGCATTGCTTGAATTGTGCTGGTAGGGTTCCCCCGCGCCTAAAATTACTGTCACACGAATTATGGTAAACACTGTCAGCTGCGTGTAAATCGCCACTGCAATATTCTATTCGACCTCTCACTTCGGATGCCCATTCATCATTACGTTCATTGCAGCATTGTTTAAGTGATTTGACGAATGTATCCGTTTTAACACAACTGAATGATTCCCCTGGGCGGTGGGACGTTTTCATATTTACTATTACATTTTGGCCACAGTACAGGCATTCCGATTTATAATTAAACGGCCCTACTGAAAGTCTCTTACTGGTTCTCTTGATGGCTTCAGCTGTGGAATGACGTTTAAAGTTCTCAATATCCTTTGGATTCGTATATTTTCTTCTACATTCAACATGTACATACTGACCAACGGCCACACACAGGTTGTCTCCTCTTTCATTACACGCCTTTTTTATACCATTGACTCCTTTCTCACCGATTTGTACTATCTGTCGATCGTTCATACAATCAAGGCAAATTGGACATACCTCTTTCCCAATGATACTCATATTTGTGGACATGATATGAAGAGAAATTTGTTAAAAATCTCCGGAAAGTCAATATGGCTACGCACAAAACGTCATAAAGCGTTGCGTTATGACGTCACTATGATGCCATAGAGACAATATTGGCATAATACATTTATGGTCTAAAACACTTCCTTTCGGAGATATTTGACATTGTTAGCCATTTGCCGCCATTATTCGCCACCTTGGATTGGTCACCAATTTTCTCAGTACTTCATGCTTACGGTGCGATAATACCTCCATTTATTCTTACTTTAATTTAAAGGGCATTTCTATTCAATTTGTTTATTTTTTGACTCGATATTGCATTATGACGTCACTTTTTATTTAATTACTTCCTTTTCTGACTCGATATTGCGTTATGACGCCACTATGGCGTCATAGCAACAATTTAACCCCATCATCTGATTCAGTGGTATCATTTTTATATTAACTCATAATACATTTATATGGTCTAAAATGCTTCCTTTCGAAGATATTTAGCATTTTAAGCCATTTCCCGCCGTCGTCCGCCATCTTGGATTGATTGTCGATTTTTGCCCAGACCCGCAAATCCGATTTTGGAAGACTTTTGGTATTTTGTTAAGCAAGTACCCTAGATACAAAAATAGTTGAGTTCAGCTTTCTGCAAATTTATTCCAGGTAAAAATCTAGATTTTTGTAACTTTTTGTAACGTTACATAATGCTGGTACTTCGTTAACATTCATGTAAGTTAAAGAGAAAATTTCAAATTTTCTAAGAAAGTCAAAACATAATTATTTCCACGTCTTTTGCTCAATAGGTTATCAAATCACTATTATACGATCATGGGCATTATTTTCCACCCTTAAAAATCTATAACACAGGAAATAACATAATTACCTCCCCTGTTTTGCTATTGACAACATGGGGCAGCCATTTTCCAACGTTGGAATTTGAAGTTAAAAATGATATTTTTGCCAATTTCTCAGCTGGCAATAGCGAATTATAGAATTAATAGGATTATTCTTTAACAAGGTAGGACTGTTTATGGATACCATCTATTTTAAGGCTTTATTTTAATACATTTTAAAAATATAACTTGAAAATTTGCAATTGCAACTTTAAGAATCCCCCAGTACAAAATATTGTTTTTAAAGAGGAATTACAAAGTGCTGAATTTGTAGACGAGGAGACAATTATTCGCGATTCAAGCAAACGATCTTAGGCAATGGCATCATTTTTATATATAATCTGCGGATAGTCAGGGAGTATGTTAAAGCATGAACCGTGTATAGATGGACAGGCAACGTCCACGAAGCCATCAATTCATAATATTTTTATTAATCTTGCTACTCTTTTTTTTTGCAACCCATACATAGACTACTAACTAATGATTTGGGTATAAATGTATCAACACATCGTCTTCGTTTACGTTGGACGCGCCTATGTGATTCCGAAAAAACCATGTCGAGTTTTCGTTAAAAACAAACCTACTAAAACACTCTTTTAATTTTTACTTCTGCACAATTAATCATCATTCCGGACAGTATTATACCTGAACTTTATTTTCATAATCTTAAAATCCTTCATACATGCGGGGATTTGGAGTATTAAGCAAAACCAAAATGCTTACAAAAACTACGAAAATATTGAAATCGATCATTTCACAATTTTCAATTGTTGCATGTGGAAATTTCAAAGTTCTAAACTGGAGAAATTCGTCACTACCGGATAAGAATACTTATCGGGTTAAAAAAATTACCATGTAACTATACTAAGCTGCAAAAGAAACGCCATGTTAGTATGTTACTTTAAATAGACGCATTGCATAAAACTTGCTAAATGTTTTTATTGTATATTTGTGACCACATCTCCAACTATACCTGAGCAATAAGGCTCCTTCCCAAACACCGAATTGAACCCAGAAAATGTTCTCAAAAATATCAACCTGACGTTTCTTTTGCTGCTTAGTATAGTTATTATGCCTCTCGCTCCAATAGAGAGAGAGAGAGAGAGAAATGGGGTTTAACGTCCACTCGACACAAACTAGGTCATTTCGGGACTAACATATGGTTTAATTTTATTTACATAATTCGCTTGCGCGTAGGGGTCTTTAGCAGTGGGAGGAAACCGGAGGACCCGGAGAAAACCCACGAGGTTGGACAGGCGACCCTACTCCTTGCCACGTACAACCGGGGATTCGAAACCACGCCAGTCGACTCAATGACAGACTGTATGATACAGCGCGCACACGCTAACCATTCAGCCATCCAACCCCCCGCTCCAATAGAGAAGGATCACACACCAAAATGTCGGATATATTGCTCATTGTATAATCGGAGATGTTAACTGTAGGCCAGTTGGGGAGGTTCAAGAGGGTTAGAATTCCCCAAAATACTCATTTATATACATGTATATCGGTCATTATTGTGGACTCTAGAAATTCACGAACTTCCCCAACCGGCCTACAGTTAGCATTTCCCTTGTATAATAATTACCTTTCAATAAATAACTATTACAGTGCTAAATGGACCCGCAAAACCAGAAATTCCTAATACCTATTCGGTACACATAGAATGCATCATTATTAATAAAAACCAGTCTACGGAGATAGAAGAATTTTTTGATTATGATGGAAACCGCGGTACTGTACATCAACGACAGAGTGGTATAGACTTCTATGCTTATTACGATTATGATTCAACTGAATTTATTGGTGTATTTCCTGCAACTAGTAAGTGCAACCAATCATTACCTATAACTTGTTGACTAATCCATTGATTGTTCACCATGAATTCTAAGAAACTCATACAGTGCTAATTATAATGTAAAATAATCTATAGATAGAACTAAAATACGGGAACCCGGGATCTAGAAGCACTACCACGAGGGACTATATAAACATCTCACTGTTTGAATTTATGGAACCCGGTCCCTGGATTGGTATAGTATTCCTTATATCCGCTAATAACCCTTACTTAAGCATGCCTGGTAATATGGCACTGCAGTGCCAAAGACGCAAATAAAAACATTCCAAACTATTCTCATACCCACTCCGCTCTGTGAAATTTTATAAGTAACCATTACGTGATATGTGTTTGCTCACTTATAAGACTATGGGCTTGCTCACTTAAAAGACTATAGCTTTAAAGATGCTTAAAGATGCATTTTTTAAGAGCTTAATTTGTCTATTGCGGGTCTTTTTTCTGGCTTAAAATGGTGTGTAAACGATTAATTAGACATTTATTCTCATGTCAAGCCCATTAGAACACCCGCGCCATTTAATATTTTAACGTTTAAATGGGTCATTGAGACTTTGTTTATTATTAATAATCTTTTTGAGGCATTGTTTATTATTGTACTTAGACAATCGAGAATACATGTATCTTGTCAAAACTTCAAACTCTCATAATTTCGCTCAGACTAAAGTAATTTTACAGAAATTTTAAATAAATAATATATTCATTTTTCATTATCTATGTCTGAACTATTATAGCAAGAACGGCCAATTCGGGGGCGTACAGCCCCTAACCCAAGGGGATGTGCAACTTAAGAATTCCCATTCTGATCATCGGCCATGATGGTGCCTCCGTTAGGCATAGTGCCAATTTTGCCCGCGAGTTTAGGAACAACGGTCAGCTAGCTCCCCTACTATTAAGGGCAATGTAATACTTTAGCCTTCCATTGATTACCATTCACCCTTTATTAAAAAAGCTCACTTAGACTTCAGATTTTCTTAAATACACACCCAGGGGTTAGTGAGGTTCCCCAATCTACCTCTGGGTATGACAATGTTGACCTGGCATGACATTTCTAACCCATTGGTTTTAATTTGGAGCTGGCCGGCAACATAGTAAAATCTGAGAGAAATATGTTATATCTATATTTCTTTTTTTTTATTTTTGATCTAAAGACGACTGCACGGTCACTGATTTGAGTAAGAGCGGTGAACGGTTTTTGTTTGGTTATAACCAGGGTGCTGCAGGTGGACATATATTTACATCTGCTGGAGCGTTACATTTTGGTGCGAATGCACAAGAAAGGTATATTGGTACTGATGTAATACGAGGGATCAACGTTAGAGCGTGGTATTCCTGTGAACATTGGGATAATATGGATGCGACCATGGATGTTTATTGGTATTTTTCAAGTATGATTTTGTTATGTTATTTCATAACCGTTTAATTCGTTTCAATTTAAAGGGGCTGAACCTCCTCAGTTTGGGTCAAAATAAAGTATTGAATTGGGTTTAGCTGATGTGGTATTTCGTTAGGCAGAAGTGGGCTTGTTTGCTAATTTATTTTTATTTTTAGCACACTGCGTCCACAGCAGAACACACAATAGGTTACATCTGAACACATACATACATGTTAAACTAGATGGTAAACAAAACAAGTCAACATATAACATCAAATGAGATCGACGATTTTATTTTTGACCCAATACAAAGGGATTATTTTAAAGCTGGCACTACCAGTTCGCAAGCCGGTGGGTCGGTAAAAAATATTTTTGATTTGATGTCACTAAGTTACATTAGGAATATTCGAATTAAATTGTACACAAAATATGAAATAAATCGACAAATCCATCGTCGAGATACAAAGGTTGTTTTAAAATATATTATACGTTACAGCCAATAGAGTGGTTTTCAGGGTAGAGCCAATAGAGTTCTTTTTATGAAGACCCGAGATAAATGACTAAACATTTACGTAGGTCAGTGTTCCGATTTTCCATAATGAAATGCTTCTACGATCATTTTGAATATTATGGTATTATATAACACTTATTACATTTATTGTCATGTTCAAAGATATAACATCCAAAAAGGATGAGATTTATTTTGGCGCGATCAAAGTGAGCTGGGCGAAAGGACATTTATATGATTATATCTGCGTGATCATTTCTTTGTATAAACATGTATTGGTGTACCTAATGTTAGATTTTTAGATGAAGCTAATGTTGAGAAACATCCCATTTTGTTTTTCTTAAAATATCCAAAATTTAAACTGCTTACCAATTCAAACAAATTCAAAACGTAGAAACAAATAGGGCCATGTTGCTTGAATGTATTAAATAATATAAAATCGTGGCCGAATGCATCTGAAAGAAAGTAAAAGACAAAAATTGTTATTTTAAGTATAGAAATTATAGAAGTACCAAGAACTGTAAATACTGTTCTCTAGACATACTAAAATTAGAGAAAGCATTAGAAAAAAAACCCTCTAAAATAATAGGCAGAAACACCCTTCACCTCTTATAGTAAGCGCAAGAGGACGGCGCCACACAAAATTAAACACACAAGACAACCCTGCCGATAAGACACACACACACACTCACAGTTGAATGTCTTTATTTAATATTTCAGATCCTGACAGTTGGGATATGGCTGTAGGTTTACCCGAGATTCCAATACGTGCCTATGTTAAAGGCATTGCTTATAGTCAAGATGATATAAATGGGTCACACGTGTTTGAACATATTTATGATTTTATTCACTTCAAAAATTACATATCTGATAATACTATTTTTGAGGTAAGATTTATTAATGCTATGATGTCTTGAAGTTCGTACATATAGATAGTTTAAAGATTTGTATTACTCGTCAAAGATTTTGTCGATACCACTACGATAGATGTTCGCGAATGTTTATATTTATAATACTATTTTCAGACACCTAGTATGGTTGTTTGTCCTGGTAGAAAAAACACTTTAGATTTCCCAGACTTACCCAACAGCTTCTCTTTTACTATAGAAATGATTGATTCTGTGCGACAATCTGTTACATTTATGACCGTAAGTTGTTTTTTTATTTTACTTGTTTGTGGTCCCTTTACCACAGTGACATATTATTGTTATGTACTATTGAGGTTCATGTATTCTGGTGTCAGCGCCTTAATTCATCCCGACTTAGACCTGAAAGACGTAGAGAACTCCTCGGTTCGCTTACACAAGCATTAGATTACCCCGATTTCAGTTTCCCTATCAGTTTGATGCGTTTGGTTAAAATAGGCTAGGACAGCTTTAACCCATTTTCTATCTTAAATCTTAAACGATTAAAATCTGAAATCGACGGAAATATACGGAAAATGGTGGCCGTATCTAATGTAGTGACATTTAGCTAGATGACTCGTTTTCGTTAGTATAACAAACACTGTTGTAGACAGTAATATAGTGACAATACTGATAAATACTGTTAAGACAATACATTAATGCGTTATGAAATTAATGCGAATATATTGGGGATTTGCATAAATGCGAATAGTAATTAATCATTATGCACCCCCCCCCCCCGGTATTAACGCGAATAGCTTACCAACTCACCGATGACTAGTTTGTTGCTTGAGGTTTGTCAGGCTTGACGACACCATTGATTTACGCAGTTAACTATTCCTTAATTTATTTAATTATTTTACAAAGTGATATACAACTAGGTCGCATTTAACAGACTACTTTCTTGTCCCTGTTAATTTATTGTCTCACAGTATTTGAATAAACCCGGTGTTTTAGTTCGGTGTTTTTTTCTAACCCTGATCCTTCTTGGCGTTATAATGTAATTGGTTATATCTTTTTTTTTAAAGGAATCCTACGATTTTAAGAGTAATGTAACAAAATTTGAGTATAAACCTACAGAATTAACAGATTCTAAATATGGCTTTAATCCTCTCACAGAAATACATGATTTTAATACTGGTATGTAAAACTACAAATGAACAAATGCTTGGTTGATGTAGAACATAACATCAACAGTAACAACTTTTCATCTTTCTTGCATTTACTTGACCAGATAAGAATTTGTAAGCTAATTCGATATGGTTGAGCATGCTCGGTTTTGAGCACTTTCTTGTTTTAGGAAGATGATTAATAATCAAAATGAAATCAAATTAGAACAGAATTGTAGTGATATTAGCTTTAACGAGAACATTTTACACACTACTGTATATAACGTGCTTGGATGTGGTAACCTATCACAATAAAACGCTGTCATTCCATTTCCCTGTAATGCATTGATATTATTTCTAGGTGTCGCTTATATCATTGATAATATGATAGGAAATTGTTCTATGGTACCCATTGAGCAGGGAGATTTTGATGATACAACAGTTAATGCCCATACTGTAAGAATGAGAACAGCTAAGGAATTCTTCTCAACAGATAATACGGTTGTGACCTATGAGGGAAGAGTAAGTAGAGGTTTATACAACTTGAAACTTAATCGTCATCTTCAGGGTCACGATGTTTGTAACGATGTTATTGTGAGCACCGAATGCGGCATTTCTGTTCTTCTTCGAGTAATTCTACTTGTTGGCGTCAGGCTAAACGGCCATGTGAGAGTGATGAAACTTGGTGTATAGTTTCATTACATCAATACATTGAGTAAGTTTGATAATGAGCATTCTCTGTCCAGGGTAAGCAGAGCGATAAAAAAATTTGATTGGTCGAGATTTTGGAGGTCGATAACTTTGATTCCAATGGAGTGAGTGTGGTGAAACTTCGTGTATAGTTTCATTGCATCAATACTTTGACTAAGTTCGATGATGCGCATTCCTGCTTAGACTAAGTAGAGACTTGACAGAATGCCTTGACAGAATTCGATCATGCGCATTTTCCACTAAGGCTAAGCTGAGATAAGCTATTTGATTGGTTGAAACTTTGGAACACGATAACTTTGGTTCTAATTGGGTGAGAGCGATGAAACTCCGAGTATACATTCATTATATCAATATCATGACTAAATTCGATGATGAGAAATTTCTGCTTAGGCTAAGTAGCGATAAACAATTTGTTTGGTCAAGACTTTGGAACATAACATCTCTGCTTTTAATTGGGGAAGAATGTTTAAACTTGGTGTAGATGTTCATTAGGTGAATGTCTTGACTGAGTTCAATGATTAACATTTTCCACTAAAGCTAAGCAGAGCTAAACAGTTTCATTGTTCGATGCTTTGGGACAAGATAACTTTGATTCTAATGGAGAGTGATGAAACCTAGCGTACAGTTTCACTACCAGGTACTTTAAAACATTGATTGAGTTCCATCGTGAACATTTTCTGCTTAGATTAAGTATAGATAATAAGTTTGGTGATTGCTCGATAGTTTTCCAAAATGAAATGAAATGGGGTTTAACGCCTTACTGTTCTGCTCCGACTGTGACATTTCAAAATGATACATGTGCAATTAATTAATATGTGTCATGCATTTATTTTGGGATTGCGGTGGGGAACATCAGCCTCCCTGTTGGCTTGTTTATCATTATTTAGTCGTTTATGAATCAGGGTTAACTAATTACTTCTGCATTGTCTTTTAGCATATGTTTTCTTGTTCATTACAAATGGCGCCCGAAACCATAGAATACACGACTCGTGTACAGATCTTAAAATGAGCAATATGTCTTAAATATTAGGTATTAGGATCCCACATTTTCACGGCAAGATAACAAAGTCAATGTTAGTTGAAATGGACCAATATTGAATTTAAATTCGTATTTATAATTTGATGGAAAATATTGAGTAAAAGGTTGAGTTCCTTTAAGTGTTAAGCAAACCGGGGCGATATGTGTTATTATATCTGTAACATTTTATTGTAGAAAACAGCTAGAAATCTGGAATGTGACACTTGGATTGGGGAACGCTCGTCCAGTCCATCAGGAATCAAGTCAAATACTACATGGGAATGGTACTTTCAAACGGTATGTAATTCCAAGAATTTGAAAGACTGTCCCATTAGCTTTTAAAAAACAATTCTGTTAAGGGAGGTAACCTTTTACTGTTCTCGTCAATACATTACGTGGTGACTCACAAGGTTCGATATTAGGACCGGGAACATTTTAAAATCTACGAAACCACTTAATCGATTAGTAGTTAAGTACAAACTCCGATACTGTCTAAATAAAAGACTTTGGTAGTGATAGATTAGAATTGATCACCCACTTAGTCCTTCTTACACGCACATCACGTACCCTATTAAATATAACGTAGAGCAGAAATATCTAATAATGAACTTGGTAATCGTGAACGTTTTTTAGTGCTTTATAGTATTTGTGTGCATTTAGGATGCATGGTCATCAGTGGAACAAACAGATGAAACTACTAATCCAGGTGGTACACCAATACAGATGAGGTTGAAAGTTCCAGATGTACGTATTTTAACTAATTAACACAAAATACAGTCATAATTATGGATACACATTTGCTTAATTTATAAATATACAACTGTTCGACGAGGCTACTGTCGTCTCAATGAATTGGGTCATACAAATATGTGGATAGTAGACAAATATATGTGAGAATAGGTAAATGCAAATAAAAACGTTAACACATTTGATTGGGGCCATTCCTAACTGAAACCATACATGGAAAACACTTCTGTGTAAATTCAAAGATATGATCTACTAATGACTATTATAGTCAAACGTGAGAAAACAAACCTGTAAAGTTCTTAATTATAAGCAATATAACTTTTCTATTTTCGATAATAATTCTTAGAAACCTACCACTCGTCTTCAAAAATAAGCGGGACTGGGTTTGTACGGTTTTTAAAACACTGGTTCCATTATAATTAGATTACAATTTCGTTCCGTTTAGTTTATTCCTGAATTTATTATAAAATTACAATTTCGTTTCGTTTATTTTTTTCTGAATTTATTATCGTTTAGTTTATTCCTGAATTTACTATAAGATTACAATTTCGGATAGTTTCGTTTAATTTTTTCTGAATTTATTATAAGATTACAATTTCGTTTCGTTTATATTTTTCTGAATTTATTATCATTTAGTTTATTTCTGAATTTATTATAAGATTACAATTTTGTTTCGTTTAGTTTAATTTATTATAAGATTGCAATTTCCGTTCGTATAGTTTTCTTCTGAATTTTACATTACCTTGAGCTATAGCCGTTTTTCTAATACTAAGATGTCCCACCATAAATAAATATCTACACATCTATCAACTATTAAAGCCGTAAAAAATCTATTGTTAACGATTCTGAATAACAGTAATATTTAGCTTTTTGGTTGTTACAGCAGCTTTAGAAATTACTTTCGTTTTGTTTCGTTTTTTAATTTGCTTTATTAATAACTTTTCCATAAGGAGCGGCATCGATTGGTTTGGTACAATTACCATCTCCTAAGCTACGTGGTTAGGCAAGAATAGCATACTAGTAGTATGTTCCTTTTGCTTTTACAGATTTCTCAAGAGAATGGTTGAGTTGCCAAACGAAGGGGTTACTAAATTAGATTTATTGATCTAGCTTTCTGTAATGTTGCGTAGTAAATAGTCTTGATTATCCCGGCTTATCAGTCAGTCAGAGAACGGTCGGTAAACTGGTTTAGCGGGATTAATTTAAAGGTTACCTGCAGATTTCGTCAAGGTCGCGAGATGTAAATAGGGTAAGGACACGTGATTGTTGACGAGATTGTGGGTTAGGTTTAGGGTAGGGTTAGATCCTGTGACTTTAAAATCTGCAGGTGGCCTTAATTTTTAGACCTAACCGGGCAGGAAACCTATTTTCCACTAAAAGAAAATATTTTTTTTTTATGGTGGGGCACTTTACCATAGTCAGATGGACACGGTTTTCTCGAAGCATTTCAATACCCAGAACGTCACACAATTTGGTGATATCAAATTCCATTTCAGTTTCTAAATGATTCTTTAATTTCTGCATTGACAAACTTTCTATATTCTTTCCCACTTCAAAATTGACGACAGTCTTGGTGGGTTAGCTTTTACCCTGTGCCCTTTCTTATTGCTGTTCCAAACAACCCGATCCATCTTGATACACTGAACTTGTCGCCTCAAAAATACCTGGCAAAGCGTTGAATGCACGTGCGTGGTTGCTTATATTACTAGTCAAAGGGGGGGGGGGGCAATCCGGAGAGTGAACAGAATAATAAGGCTAGAAGTGAATGTAGTACATCATAAAAATAGAAACGAAGCGTTATTGACACCCGAGTTTAACCAGATTTACATTTAAGAGACATCTGTTCGGACCTTATACGTGTATGTTATATTTGTAGCTTGGAATGGAATATTCATACAACATATATGGCTTTTCTAAAGCGACACAGGATCTCAAGACCTATGATATAAGTGCTTGTTATATAAATGGTAAAAGAAGACGTTTTGATTTCCAAGTATCATCCAGCTTTAAAACTAATGTAGATCAGAATAGACAGATTTTTATATACAGTACATTGATGTCTTTATCTGGCTTTATGGACGTGTCTCCACTCAGGGTTGCTAATTTACAGGTATAGGCCAAAACATTTTTTACATACTTGATATCTGGTGAAATGGGGCCTCGATAACTTTGTAATATACTTATTAGTCGGGTCACAGCCCCCAGATCCATGACCATTTCTCGGGGAACAAGGTTTGACGATGGTTTCTGATAGAAGGGCCCTAGTAAAGATATTTGTAGTTTGCTACCTCCGAAATCTACGGGCTAAGTCCAGTAGAGCCGAAAATCCAAGATGGCGGCCAAAAATGATCTGAAATTGACATTGATTTTTGATTTGATTTTGATTTAAACAATATTTTATTCACAAACGAATGGGATTGAGCAACAGGCTTGAAGCCTATATCAGCTCTTTCCATAGATATAATGGTATAATAACGAGGGGTATGTTATTTACAAAATATCTCTAAAAAATGTAAAAACATTAGATTTAAAGAACATATATACAGAGGTTATGTGGAAGTGTATTTTGCACTGATTTTGAAATTAAAATCTGTGACTTAGTTTGATAAAAAGGTGAACAGTTTTAGTTAATTGTATATTTGATTCCACTGATAAGCTTTCATCTCCCTGTAAAAAAAATTTTAAATATATATTTTGATCATTTATAATTTTACTAATAATTTCGAACATATGTATTCTAATTTGATTATAATATGGACAGATAAAAATAATAGTGATATGAATCTTCTTCTGCATTCGGGCAATGAGGACAAACAGCAGAATCGGACAAGAATTGTTCTTTGAGGTGGCTCTTTAGGTTACTACTATTGTTTCTTATTTGGCAGTGTAAAATATTCCCTTGTCTGACACCAAAGATATGATAGGGTTTGATTTTTTGGAAAGGATATAACTTAAAGATATTAGTTTTAAACTGATTAAGATTATTTGAATTTCTGACGTAAGTAGGCAGATTGTTCCATAGTCGAATAGTACTTGGAAAGAAACTGGTAAAATAAGACGTTGTTATACATAAAGGAATTTGGAGGTTGAGATTTGAAGAACGCAGGTTGTAACTAGAGAAATGAAAAAAATCAATTAAGATATCTTGCAGATATGTCGGCGCACAACCATAATAGATTTTATAAAGCATGATCAATTTCTGTTTTTCTCTGCGTTGAGACAGTAGCTCCCATTCAAAGTCAGAATAAATAAATTTTCTTTGAGAATTTCGTCGTAGCCCTGTTATTATTCTCCCTGCTTCTATCTGGACACTTTCTAATAAATCAGAATCTTTCTTAGTACAGTTAACCCAAACGACATTACCATATTCAAGAACTGGCCTAATAAATGACAAATAGATTTTATTTAAAGAAGAACGATCGATTTTGTATTTCATCAGTCTTAATGCATTAAATCGTTTGGTAGCTTTTTGATATATAGTTCAAATATGTACAGACCACGAGGCGTTCTTTTGAAGGTTAAGTCCAAGATGACAATGGCTACTTACTTGTTCAACTAATTGGTTATTAAAATAAATGTTCGGATGTGTAATATTTTTCCGCGAGAAGACCAAATTTTTAGTTTTTAATGACAAACATTGCTGGCGAAATATGCCATTTCCAAGCTGATGGAACCAATTTGAAAGGTGATAGCATACAACTATATATTAAGCATTTCGCGACTACAAACCTACACGTATAATAACAACAACCATAAATTGTTCCGGACATCCATAAATCTTATCCTGTATATATTTCATCTATCCTAATAAATTACATAGAGGATATTTGTCGTTTTAGAGTGAATAACATATTTTATTTCATCGAGAAGCAAGAAAACTTATATAAACGTTTTCTTGCTTAGAGATGAAATAAAATATGTTATTCACGACAAAACGACAAATGTTCTATTTATTTTATGATTTTACAATCATTTTAGGTAACAACAACTAGCCAGTGGAATAACACTTTTATTTCACTGATAAAACGCGGTATTCCACTACTGATCATAAAATAAAATGTGTTATATATTGTAGCCCAAAATGGAAATTTCTTGAATTCTGATTGGTCGAAAAGTGGCGTCGAATGAGTATAACAGTCCTCTAAATTTCCTGGGCGACTCACTGCGAATGAATATTTTCTGGGTGCTAGACTCTGTTTGCACTTGCAGTGGCCAAAAATTCTACACCTCAAAACTTTATTCTTGGAAATCTTCATGAATTCAACCATTGGCTTATTGAAACACTCACCTGAAACACATAAAAAACAAAGTTAGTGAGTGTATTTGAAGCATAATAAGTAAATTTAATTTCAAGGCTGGTCTGACAATAACGGTTGCTATGGTCATTCTATCATAATCAGACTGGTCAAAATCGAAGATTTTCAACAAGAGAATAAAAATACTACAATTTATTGAACTCCGTATGGATCGTAATATATTTTTAAAAATATACAAGTCGGGCTGATACTGATATGAATAGGACAGAGACTAATTTTCATACATAGGCCATTTTTTTTTCCGAAGAAAAACAATCACATTCACAGCGTCGAAATGACAACGTGAACAAGCATAGCAACCACATGCGTACGCTACACAGCATATATCTACACGGTCACACGAGTGTATGGACATTTATCAAACACGATATGCAATTTGTTTCGAACCTAGTCACTGCTGGAGTTCAAAATCATTTAAAAAGTACATAAAATACACTTACGATTTCTGTTTCGATCTTTAAAATTATCGCAGAGTGACCTCCCTTTCCAAACAGACACAATTAACCAGTCGCTTAGTGAACCAAATAGAATGGAAATGAGTGTTATTCTATTACGTCACGGATATTTTCATTACGTCAAAATTGTTTTCCTTGGTATTTACGTCATTAAAACCAAAAAACGACCGTCAACTATCGCGAAAGAAAGAATTCCAAGAAAAATGTTAAATATTTTGGGCTACAATATCGATAAACACCGACTGTTTACAATTTAGAGGACTGTTATTGTCCATTTGATACCGCTTAAATTTTTCATTAGAGGCGCTCGATCGCTACGCGATCTCGGCCTCTAATGATTTAAGCGGTATCAAATGGACAATAACAGTCCTCTAAATTCTAAACAGTCGGTGTTTATCTCCTAAATATAGTATTTGTCTGTATGACTTGTTAATCTCAGAAAACATGTGTAAAGAGTCTGAGTATTTTGAGTGTTCGATCCCTGCATTGGCCGAGAAAGTTCATTCAGGTTTCCCGGCGTGGTTCTCCATTGTCAGTGATGCAGGATGGAGGGCCTGACAAGGACAGCTGTCTAGTCATTCGGATGAGACGAAAAACCGAGGTCCCGTGTACACATTGGCGTGCACGTAAAAGATCACTTGACAGTTGAAATTCGATATAAGAGTAGGCCGTAGTGCCGCTGTCCGGACAAAATTTCCCCTCATAACACACTGTATGGCGTATGCCCGTCTTCATTAGCCCAGTTCGGAGCAGAACAGTAGGACGTTAAACCCAAGTTCAATTCATCTATCGGGCTTGCGCACTCAGATTGAGAAGTAATGTTATTTTGGGAGTTATCAACTGAGAAGTTGTTTAAGAACTGAGAGCTTTTGGTGGAACCTTTGGATTTTAAATATTTCAATAAAAATTTCTCTTTAAAACCGCTCCATCATAATCCTGGCAATAGGTTATGAATTTATCTGCAATCCATTATGACGTTTAGAAGAATCGTCCCCCTCCCCCTCCTTCCTCCAATTCAACGCCTCTGGTCCATTTCCTGCCCAGTTGAAAAATCCTGGACAAGCATCAATCAATCAACATTGATTTTGTTTAAACCCATTCATGGGTTTAGGGGAGTCGAAATTTGCTCTATCGGGGTGTTGTTTCGCCAAAACCATGGGATCGAGCAAGTGCATTTGGTAAATAAAATTCATGTCAATAATAGTTATCAAAATTCTCAAGTTACTTCCGACAAACTCCTTTTAATTATCTTTATCATCTTAGTGTGATGCCGGTGATCCTTGCCACATTTCAGAAAAAAACATTCAGCCATTATGAAAAATAAGCAGATTTTGTATAAAATATCTTATATTTGACCCTTGGAGTTGAGTGTCCTATATCCTGTTAAAAAATATGAATGCCACAATTCCGATGCGCTAACTATTATTAGATATAAAAAAAATATTCGGTGACTTGGAAGCATACAAATTTGCAGTGTATACCGTGCGTATGCCACTAGATTGCGATATCTTTTCTGCGGAATACTATGTTACTTACCGATCCGAGTTACCCCTATACACCCTAGTGTAGCTGCCAACCCCGAACAGACAGAAAGACAAACAACAGTCACAAATATTAGTATAGATTGTTTGCATTATAATGTATTATGATAGCTGAAATATATGCAGGACAAGATTCATGGATGTCCGGAACAATTTATGGTTGGAGCATATCCGTGTCTTTCGCCCCCCAAAACCCCTGAAACGACATATGACACGTGTGTGTTGCTTTTGGTATTGAAATAATACTTTTTGAGTTAATTTCTGTCGCCATTTTGGGTTTTGGCGGTCATATTGGATCAGCCATTTGTGAAATGAATCGGAAACTGTCCAAAACGAGTCGGTTGACCAACAAACCTATAAAATGATATTTACACGGGTCATTTCGCCAGCAATGTTTGTCAGTTTCAGACCATTTTAGGCCGCCATCCTGGATTTACGGCTCTCCAGGAGTTAGTCCGTAGATTTCAGAGCTAGCAGACTACAAATATAGGGTTCCTTCTATCAGAAACCATCACCAAACGTTGTTCCCCGAGAAATGGTTACGGATCTGGGGATTGTGACCCGACTATATATATCATGTAGTTTATTGGATTCAATAAAAAGATAGTAAACCCCATATTGTGTTATATGAAACAACTGATAAACGTTTGGTGTCCTGGTGTTAATTCTTAATATGAATTTGGGTTTTTTTATTTTTCGCAGTAGCCAGGCTACATTTTTGTCCGATCCAGATGAAAATGAACACTATGTTATGGACCAAAAGTCGAAAACTTTGTGAATGCGTTAGGGGCTACAGTTTTTAACAGATCTATTTCAATTAGATGTGGTTCATAAGAGGACGAACTCTATCGATATTCAGCGTTCCACAACCTTCCACCCAGAGTTACCCCCGCCAACGCATGGCAACCGCTTGTTGAATTTTTACTGAGAATTAGATGGCGTAAGTGATTTATGCGCGTTTGTCTTGTGTTTATTAATTAGTTGATGGTATTAATTGTATTGTTTTGTTGCATTTTTTTAAACGTTTCTTTTAAGCTAAGTTTTCAAGATGATATACATCTGCGGTTTGATCTGTTAGATGTGGCTCCATCGTTTGGTGATGTAGCGAATTTAAAGCAAGAGACCACATTAAATGCAGCAGCTGATATATTAACTAAAGCAATCAATAACAACGAGTTTGTCATATTATTGTTCGCTTATAATACGGTTAGTACCTTGGTATCCAAGATCATTTAGGGCTATCTGTATTGTGATAAGTAAATAGTAATTGTCCACGTGCATTATACTTACATGTTATAATCTGGATAGTAAGTCTAATATTATTACCGGGTAATTAAAAGGATTTAAAAGATTTATAAACTTATAAAAACAAAAAACCCAAAACAATAGACATTTTTATTATTAATGTCGTCACTCTTACAGTATTATCAATTCAATTTTGTTTTAAATTTCAGTTTCTAAAAGCTAATCGGTAAATGGATTAATTAATGTTCCATTTTTTGTCTATATTAGATAACACCAATCACAGTAATGAGTGGATCTATAGTAGAGTATGACTATGATACACATTTCTCTAATATCAAATCCAGTACAGCCAAATATTCGGCTGGTTCTATGGCAGGTTTAGCAGTTGGTATGATGATAACAGGTGGAGCTGTCGGCGCTGGTGTAGCTTTTAAATTATTCAAATAAATCAAGTCAAAGGAACATATATATATCAACTGTATATATCAATAAGTACATTAATTTTATTATATGTAGATGACCTAAATATTAGAAGAAATATTTGACAAGTTTGTAAATATTAAACTTTTAAAAATTTATATCGGAAGGAAACTTGGGGTGTTAATAATTGTATATATTTTCTTTTATAGATTTATTAATTGAATATCACATCAGTTTCATTTACATATTTTTGTATCTTGCTTTAGTAACACGAAATAAAAAGTGGACATCAATTATTTGAAATTATTAATTATACATTTAAAAAAATATAATTGAATACTTCACATGGGCTATGGAAAATGGAGTTAATGAAAGATTGTGTTTCAGTTCATTGAGTGGTGTACTACTAGATACTATAGAGTCTATACAAATAGATTAATCTGTGCAAAACTCATGTTATGTTCTCACACACAATGGATGAACAAAAATTAGAAATGCTTGAATTATTTTAATATGAATCATCGGTCAAACCGCCAATCTAGATCTATAAATAGATGACTAGCTTTATTGCCAGATGGTTGTTTCCAGTTCAATAAATCTAACGGCCCCGTCTTTTTCTAAAAGCATTTCATTATTGATTTAAATTCTCCCTCCAAGGACGAAACAAAGAAAAAAAATACAATAGCGTGCTGTATAAGAGTGTTGAAGACATGTAAACAATCGCTCTGTAGACTTTAAGGATAACTGTGGCGTTATTCATTAAACTAATATGAAATTATCAAAGTTACAATATTCCAGACTAAAAGGCACAAAAAGACTTTAGACCGTGTAAAGTTCACATTACTTTTCATGATTTCACTCCGCCTTCTTTATCGTTTTACAAGGATAAATGGGGGTTAACTCTCATTCGCAAACTTCAAGTTCAAACTATGATTATATCTAACATAGACCACTCTATCAGTATGTATATAAAGAACACTTTTTATACTGTATTTTGTCAAATACATGTATAATAAGGAATATGATTGTTCTTTCTTTGACACATTGTTGCTTTAATGTTAGCTTTTATAGGCTAATGTCATTCAATAGGAATAGGAACTTGCTTAACGTGACAATGTTCGTGTCTTTATGTGTAAGAAACTGTATTCTCCTTTCTTCAATTATTTACTATATAAATTCGCGTGTATTTCAGAAAATATCACATTAAATAATTCAAATAAATTTATAGTATTTAATAGTAAATCTTATCTTTAATACACGTAAATGACGAATATTTATCTCTTCAAATATATAAATAAGTATATATTTCTTATTCCACGAGTAGGGGTAGTTATATTGAATAATGCTCTAGTTTCCCCTGTTACGTTTCTTTTTGTTATATACTAATCTATATCAAATTGTGCATTTATTTATAATTAAAGTTACGGAATTTAATATCAACAGTAAAACAAAGCATTTGTCGTTGAATTAAATTATTTAATCGCGTCTCTAAGATACATGATAGTATAGATAATTGTGAACAAACACATGCTTTAATATAATATTTTGTGCATTCTAGAGTTATTTATCATAACTTTAATCGGTCTTCATTAGCCCAGTGGGTGCAGAAAAGTAGGATATTAAGCCCCATTTCATTTCGTAACTTTAATTAATATTGGATATTTACAAATATTGTTTTATTCTCTGCAATTCAAGTACTGAATAAAGATGTTATGGGATCTATAGTACAATAAAAAAAATATTTGTGACATTTAAAAGCCATGTGTTGCTCACTAATTATCAAATATTTCATTTTTCTTTCTGTCCAATTCGAAATGTTTTCCACTTCGTTTTCACAAGAATGAAATGTTACGGATTTTTTGTAGTAGAACTCAGCACTTTGCTGGTTCGATTCCATATTTACACAAAAAGAAAAATACTAAGAAAATAAAAGACTATTTTATGAAACAACTCATCAATGAATCATCAGTTTATTTTGTTAAAAATTTCAACTTTGTTTGGTGCCTTGTCAACGTTGTCGACGCCAAAATCACGCGCTATCGATCCGTAAAGGCGAAAGAACATTCATTCATCGCAGATTATCACTATAGACTAAGGACATTATTTGACAGGCGGTGCTATTTGACAGCAATGGTTGAGATTTGGTACTTGTAGCAAACAAAACAGGTGGTTAATAGTAAATGGGAGCTTTTGTGATATCAAACTAAAAGAAACTGAATGTCAGCATGCCAAGATCATTCCTGGTAAAGAAATCCAAACTTAAAATAGAAGAAGGAAAACATCCAGGAACTTTCAAGAATGGATTCGAAGACGAAGGGTCACCAGTCAGATCTCATGCTACTCTGCCAGTTAGTGTCGTTTCTCCTGTTACTCCTGTTAGTGCCAAACCACTGTTTGTTAAACTCGATAATGGTAAGTAAATTGGTGATGCATGACATAAAAGCCAGTCTAATTACAATACTTTAAAACGCGAATCATGACAATTAATGACATTGTGACTAATTCTAAAGAAGTATGAGTCATTGAATAGCAAAACAAGACATGAACCTTTCTTCTCGTTGTCTTTTTTCGTCTGCTTCCGAAAGACATATTGTAGTCTTTTTACAGCTTGAACTTATTTCTAACCATAAACACACAACTATCCCGATTATCGAATTTTATCGGAATATTTAAGCACCTAGTCACTGTGTAAACTGATCTTGTGTATTCTGCTTTCTAAAACCATTCCCACACTCTATATTAATTTTGGCGTATGCCTTTTCTTTGTTACGTGAATACAACGCCCATTAAACATAATCACCATGAATGCGTTTTATTTTATTTATGTTATTATATCACGTCATATTCCAAACAAATACTGACTTACAAAATGATTACACTGCAGACATTGTTAATTACTTTGAAAAGATAATAAAATCTGTATAAATCGTTCATTTGAAATTAAAGCATTCGTATATCAGTAATCAATAGACCAGGTTTCGTTTCGAATTGCGAACACAGTGCAATTTAAACAGGTATTTCCTCTCAAAAATAATGTAGTTTCGGACCATAAACAGATATGTTTCCAGCAAAAATACATGTGGTTAGTATTCATCGACAGTATCTTGCACACAATACAACATCACAGTGAATGAATTGACTATGGTTATTTATTAATATATCGTATTAATAAATGACAAGGTACAAACATATATAAATATGATTGTAATGAAATTTTAAATACAATAAACATATATCATAACAATACAAATTCTCTAATACAGTATTAATAATATAGAGTTAGAAAGTGCCGTAGTGTACGTTCATGGCTGTGTTGCTGCTTATTGACGCAAATACAACCTTTACGCGCCTCATACAAGTCAAATAGATAATACCATACACATCTTATTTACATATTTTATGAAGGTATGGAAGGGATACAACCAAATGGTCTAACCCGAGTAAATGCGAGTTACGGGTTTCTAAGCTCGTGGGTTCCAAGCCACTTCTAACTGCGCATGCGAGCCATGCAACCTTTATTATTATTATTTTTTTTTTAATAGATATGGGTGGTGAACCAGAATATTGTTTTTATATGGCCTAAAATCTGCGCGCACATTAGTTTAATTGGTGCGTCCGTTGAAAAACGTGTGTTCACACACTGCCTGCGAACAAGCAAATTATTGATAAAAATACATACTAGTCAGGGGCGTGCTGGGTGGGTAGGCAGGATAGTTTCAAATAGTTGATAACTATGGAACTGGAAGCCTATAACTACCATTCATAATTTCTACTTTTCGCCTCTTCAGAACGCAAAAGTCGAAAAGTAGAAAAGTAGAAGTTACGACAAAATGTGAGGCGACAACACGCTATACAAGCGAAAATCAACCCGAAAATAGGAAATTAAGAAATAACACACAGCGATAATAGCGCTCCTCGTTATTTTCCTAATTTCTTATTTTCGACTTGCATTTCTTGTCGACTTTCGACTTAGTCATATTTTTGTATTTATTGATGTCGGTAGAAGTTACGACAAAATGTGAGGCGACAACACGCTATACAAGCGAAAATCAACCCGAAAATAGGAAATTAAGAAATAACACACAGCGATAATAGCGCTCCTCGTTATTTTCCTAATTTCTTATTTTCGACTTGCATTTCTTGTCGACTTTCGACTTAGTCATATTTTTGTATTTATTGATGTCGGTAAGAAGGTGCCAACACGTTATACAAGCCAAAATGCAACTCGAAAATAGGAAATTAAGAAATAACACACAGCAATAATAGTGCCCCGCGTTTTTTCCTAATTTCTTTTTTTCGACTTGCATTTTGGCTTGTATACCGTCTTGTCGTCTTTCGACTTAGTCATATTTTTGTATTAATTTATTGATGGCAGTAAGAAGGCGCCAACACGCATACCAAGCCAAAATACAACTCGAAAAGTAGAAATTAGGAAATTAACACACCGCGCTAATAGCGACCTATCATTTTGGCTTGCTGTCGTGCTGTCGACTTTTCGACTTTCGCCCCGGAAGTTGTCGTAGTCTCAATTTTACGGGTCGCATTTGAATACGTACAATCAGACTGTATTTCATTCTTTTCCGTCAAAATGGATAATAATTTTTATATAAAAAAAAATGTTCATATTTTTCTTTCCGCTAACTGGGATATTGTATCTGCCAAAAATGTCTAATAAAAAACCCCCCAAAAAACCCCCACCTTAGGCTACAACAATTTAATTTATTATATAGGCCTATTATAAAACAAATTTCCCGTACCGGTATATACAATATACAACTTATAAAATCCGCCTTACATGGGGATTGGGTGGTCAAGTGGTTTAACACGTGCGCGTGAAATCACAAGGTCTGACATTGATTCAAATGGTGTGGTTTCGATTCCCCGCTTAAACATGACAAGGGAGTAGGGTCGCTTGTCCAACCTTGTGGATTTTCTCCGGATACCCCAGTTTCTATCCACTGCAAATGAATAATTGAAATGATTTAGTTTCCAACGAGTGGATGTTAAGACAGCCTGGAGGTCGGGTGTTCGATCCCTGCATTGGTCGAGAAAGTTCATCCAGATTTTCCGGCGGGTTCCCCCTTGTCAGTGATGCAGGACGGGGGGGCTGACAAGGACAACTGTCTAGTTGTTCGGATGGGCCAAAAAAACAAGGTCCCGTGTACACATTGGCTTGCACGTGAAAGATACCTTGACAGTTGGGATTCGATATAAGAGTAGGCTGTATTGCCGCTATCCAGACAAAATTTCCCTTATAACACACTGTATGGCGTATACCCGTCTTCATTAGCCCAGTTCGGAGCAGAACAGTAGGACGTTAAACCCCAATTTCATTTAATTTCCTTTCTCTCTCTCTCATCGCCAATTTTTAAAATAAAATTGCACCATGTTAGTCAATGAATAACTCTTAGTTTGTGTCGAGTGGACGTTACCCCCCCCCCCTCTCTCTCTCTCTCTCTCTCTCTCTCTCTCCCTCTCTCTCACTAATACATTAGCGCAGTTTTGAGGTGATCCACTAAGATCAGAATTTATTTTTGTTGTCTTTAGTTATTTCACCATCTACTGAACAATATATATTCAGCCTCTACACGCCAGTCTCACCCAAGGATTTCACTTTTTAACGTTTTGCATGTACAATAGACCTATTCTTAATTGCAGGTACCGTAATGATCCAGAATCTGAATCCTCATAGAAATTTCAATTTTATTTGTAAGACAATCATTAGAGAATTTTGGCGGTGGTACTGAAACGTCACTATTCGACTCGTTTTTACATTTCCTACCCATGGTGATAATATAATTTGAAATAAAATAATAATATACAATTGGGAAAACCTGTATATTTTATATGCGGTATGAAACCACAGTAGGCCTAAATGAAATTCAATTATCAATGCGCGTATTCTAATGTGACCATGAAAGTAGAGACTTCCGAGGCGAAAAGTCGACAGCACGACAGCAAGCCAAAACGCTAATATCGCCTTCAATACTAGACTTTATCATACAGGCTATTTTGTTAACGCAAATTGCATGTATTTAAATGCGACCTGGCAAATTGTGACTACAACCACTTCCGAGGCGAAACTCGAAAAGTCGTCAGTACGATAGCAAGCCAAAATGATAGGTCGCTAATAGCGCGTGTGTTTATTTCCTAATTTCTACTTTTTGAGTTGCATTTTGGCTAGGTATGCGTGTTGGCGCCTTCTTACTGACATAAATAAATACAAAAATATGACTAAGTCGAAAGTCGACAAGACGGTATACAAGCCAATATTGGGAAAAAACGAGGGTCGCTATTATCGCTGTGTGTTATTTCTTAATTTCCTATCATCGAGTTAATTTTGGCTTGTATAGCGTGTTGGCGCCTTCTTACTGACATCAATAAATACTAAAATATGACTTAGTCAAAAGTCGACAAGACGGTATACAAGCCAAAATGCAAGTCGAAAATAAGAAATTAGGAAAAAACAAGGGGCGCTATTATCGCTGTGTGTTATTTCTAAATTTCCTATTTTCGAGTTGATTTTGGCTTGTATAGCGTGTTGTCGCCTCACATTTTGTCGTTACTTCTACTTTTCGACTTTTCGACTTTCGTGTTTTGAAGAGGCGAAAAGTAGAAATTATGAATGGTAGTTATAGATAACGTTCTAATCCAACGAGATTTCCGACCACGGTATATGGGCGTGTGAGGGTTTATTTTGAGAGATTTTTTTTATTTGATTTCGCGAGCCAGCATCCAATCTATTTCCACCAGGCTCGGATTAAGCGTGGTACTAACCGGGCTAGAGCCAAATTAGTTCTAAAAAAAAAATACTTTATCATTTGATGTATTATCTTGTGCCAAATAAATCTATCTATCAACCATACTGTCATACAAATTGTATTTGTGCTTGTGGTGGACAATGACCAAGGGCCCCATGCAAGCAAAATCTGGCCTTGATCACCACTGATGGTTTCCAGATTAGATTTCAAAGCTGGATTTATATTTCCATAACACAGAACCAATTAATCTGTCTTTGCTTTATTTATTTCGCTAAATGAATTTAGGAAAATGAAAAACTGGTGACGGGGTCATCAGTAACTTCCTTGGTCAGGCTTAAAGTAAACCTTTTACACCGAAGCCACAGCCGGTGTCTAAATCTTGATCATGTTCTCGTTCTTGGAGTCGTGTCCGTTTACTCTTAAGCGCCCCCCCCCCACCATTAGCGAATAGAATCGAATGAAACTTGACAGGTACCCTTTGTAAGGAATACCAATCCCTTTTAATGCTTATTTTTCTTTACTCGTAGGTCGTATAGTTCTTGATTGTTGCTAACAATGTTCATGTTCAGATCTTCAGAACTTAATCATAATTCCTCAACCAAGTGTCAATGTATACTATGTCATGGCTCACATATACATCAAATTGAATCTAGCATGTTCCAGAGAACCAACAGTTTACCAGCGATGCCCTTCTTATAAAGTGCCATAAGTTTGGCCTGCCCACCATCCTTCGGAGGTCCCAGCCCAATTGGTATTTTCGCTTTTACTTCCGCATGATGAAGCGAAAGAGTATAATAGCATTTTATGTTTTGATTTCAGGATATATCCATGATATTTCGGATGGTTATATTAAGGATGAGAGAGATGAGGTAGTGCGTGAAGGTGTATCTATGACAAGTCCTGAACCAACAAATACTGCTGATGTATCATTATACGAACCAGATCCCCCAATCGTACATCATACAGCAGATCGCCGCCAGAGTTACGATGCTTATCTTATTTTAGATGGAAGAACTAAAAATAAATCTAACGCGGGTGTGATGCGACCGCGATTCCGATGTGATGAGTGTGGCAAGGATTACGCCACATCGTCAAATCTATCGCGCCACAAACAAACTCATCGAAGCCTTGACAGTCAACTCGCCAAAAAGTGCCCACATTGTGACAAAATATATGTCAGTATGCCTGCCTTATCCATGCATATATTAACACACAGTCTTAAACATACTTGTCAAATTTGCGGAAAATCATTTTCCAGACCGTGGTTGTTACGAGGCCATGTTCGATCTCACAGTGGCCACAAACCCTTCGGTTGTTCCCATTGCGGTAAAGCCTTTGCCGACCGATCTAATTTAAGAGCCCACATGTATACACACTCTGCCTTCAAACAGTTCAAGTGTCGTTACTGTAAAAAGACATTTGCGCTCAAGTCGTATTTGAACAAACATTACGAATCAACGTGTCTTAAATAATGGTCATACCATAACGAACTATATAGCTATATTATACCATAATCCAAATCTTCCATACCTAAACCAAAGTATAACACAGTATTATATTAGTATTACTTTTTAATACATAACGAATATATATTACAACGACATAATAAAATACTATACAAATGTTTTCTTTTTTTTTTCATCATTTATCTATGTTATGGTGGGGTTAATCCCCAAATATGAAGAGAACATCTTCTAGATAAGGATTAGATTTTCTTAAACAATGACTAAGATCGAAAATGATGGGGCAATAAGACATTAAAAGTCCAATAAAGAGCCCACGACTCCGTGACACATTAGTTAAAAAATCATTCAAATTGAGTTTGGACTTAAGTTATGGAAATTTGCATAGTTAATATTAGTTGGTATTGAATTTCACGACACAATCCTTATGGGTCTGAGTTAATATAAACATAAACAATTCTGGAATTTTACAAGCCAACCATTTCTGTGTTTTGAATAGGAACATAATAAGAGTCTTTATAAGTAAAACTGCATATATTTTGGATCATCTTGTTAAACAGCTTACAAGATTCAGCATTCCCCAAACCCTCCCGCATACAAATAAAATAAAATTACGCATACAACTTCTGTATTTATAAGACTGGTAATGTGCTCAGTTGTTTTAGTTTGAGAATCTAGTCCATGTTTTACATAATTATATGTCTTATGATGTTTTAATGCTTTATTTTGATGGCGACTTGTACAGCTTTAACCATATCCTTTGTTTTATTACTACTTCGTCTTCTATCGTTTTTAGAGCTGGAAGTCTCAGAGATTATACTTCCGGCAGGTAAAAACGCATCCTCTTCTATGGCGGACTGCTGTTTAGTGGGTAGCCTGCCATCTTCCTTGCCTTTATGTCGACTGGAATCTCCCGATTGCTTTTTATAGTCCGAGACACTTGGGCGACTTCTAATACTCACGACACTCCTCCGTCCCGCAGACTTAGATTTTAGAGGCACGTTCTCATCCTCGACCTCATCAAATTCTCCCGATTTTGAGCCTCTCAGTTTTGGTAACAAAATTCGAATGCCATTGAGTATTGTGAAATTTATACGGAACCATGTATCGTCTAAAACATAACCAATTATTATATAGATCAATAATAATGACATCTTTCATCAATAATGAAAAATCTCAAATGCCTTAATCATGATCATTTTAAACTTTGTGTACATGAAGTATCAAAGCAGAAGACTAATGGGTTTCGAAATATAATAACATCAAATCGAAATATAATAGACAGCAAACCAATGTGCCGTATATCAAGTTAATGTATATGAAATTGGGTTTACCATCTCCTCAAAACATCCTGGGTCCTTTTGGGGACTAAAACCTGGTTATATCTTGACATATGCAATGCGAGGGAGAAGAAACGCATCTCCACTAACATTTCATCAAATTCAAACTGTCAATGTCATGGATTCATTTCTGACCTCGGCCATATTGTGATCGCAACCCTGACAAATAGGAACCTGGCTTGAAAAACCCCGTCGGCTCCACGCCGGAATTCGAACCCAGGCAATGTTTTTGAGAGACCAGTCCTTTGACCACAGGGGCCGCCTCTAAATAAATAACACAAGCCTTAGAAAGATTGTACTTAGTGACTAAATGAAATATGTATAACGTTACCTGTAGTTGAGAAAGTAAAAGTTTTGATATTATCACTGTCTACGTTTTGATAGTCTGGTGGCCGTGAGTCTGTATGTGGCGTATGTACTACTCTATGTTTAAAACTGTGCTCATGTTTTCTCATATATCTTTCTGCTGTGTCGTTTTTTAACCATTCATCACAAAACCTTTACACATAAAAAAATAGCTTGGATGCGAACATATGTGCGCAATCAACTTTTGTTGTATTGAAATGTGATTTAATTAGCTTTAGACTTTATGATAACTATACTAGATCATAAATCATTAACCGACACCAAATTTTGACAGCCTACTTTCTTTAGATAAACTCAATAATCCTTTAGATCAAGTTCAAAATGAGGAGATGAAGTCCATAAATAGTATTTTTAAGAGGTAATATCACATAAGCTACATACCTTCTCCAGAAATGATATAGAACAGGAAATAATAGTATAGATGCTTCATGAAATAAACTTCTCTGTGGGCCATATAGATGTAAATTATTGGCAATTGTTACGGCCATATCCGATGTTACATTTACCTTGTATGAAAACAATAAACCCATCACAAATAATTCAATGAACAGTTTACAGTGAAATTAAATACAGATAGCAGACAGTCCAGCCATTGCAAACTTAGACAACGACTTACAGGACTGGCGAAATGACATTTCAAGGGAGGTAAAACATCCATTTCCTAACCCGGGATAATGAAATGTTAGTCATGGACGAGCAAAGGTGTTAATATGGCATTGCAACATGGACGGGAAATCTTCCTTTGTTCTTTTCGTTGAATAAGCAGATTATTTTCCCTCTAGTAGATTGGATGGAGCTTAACCGTGCAATAACTAGACATGTTTAATGTTACTGCACTCTTTTGCTGGTTTACACTAGTTTTAGTGGAAATCATATAGAGAAGTGGGGTGGGGTTTCTGTACAATAACAACAAGCATGTTGAGCAGGTGTCAATGTTGCAAGTCATTTATAGCACGCTTTATTCGTGAACAGGTTTAACACCTCGGCCTACGGGCTCGATGTTCAAACCTGTTAACTCATAAAAGCCGTGCTATAAATGAAGAAGAAGAAGAAGTGTTTAATAAAGTGTCACACGGTGTACATTTACATATCATAATTCAGTTAAAAACCTAATTAAAGAGAACACCGCTCGGCCATAACGGACTATGGGACACTGGATATATCTATATATTTCTAAAATACAGATTAATATTAGATAAAACATCATATTATAAAAAAAATATCATATATCTTTTAAAAACCGGGATCTCTTTTGAAACATGTCAAATATAAAATTGCATATCATACTGGGGTTGTTATCACTAGAGAAAATACTAATAACTTTCTCTTTTATAGACATTTTATAGAAATTTACGGCTATCTTATGCATTTCTCTAAAAGGTCCATAACGAAGGTCGGAGTACATTTTGCATTCTATTAAAAAATGGGGTTCTGTCTCAATTTCTGAGCAGAAGGGACATAATCGACAAATGAGTTGGATTGGGGGATGACTGTATCTTAGTTTTTCGATCATTAGATCAGAGCTACCGCTGCGTAATAATGACGTGACCTTACGTACATGGCGTGGGAGATTGTTACCTAAAACATAAGGTTCGGGTTTCAAATCCTTTGTAAACAAACGATAGGTTCCCAATTTGTTGTCATTGGGTTTTTTGTTGTCATTCCATAACTCTTGGAACCATTTACTCTCATCATTTTGGAATAAATGACGCTTTAGGGCTTTTAAATGAGACGTACTTATAGATTCGACATTACATATATGGCTAATTTTAAGATTTTTACCAGGGCGTGAGCGTTCTTTTCCCAAGATATAGCTTGTCTCAGTGACCAATTACATATATGGCTAATTTTAAGATTTTTACCAGGGCGTGAGCGTTCTTTTCCCAAGATATAGCTTGTCTCAGTGACCAATTACTAATAATAACAGGTGATCTGCTACTATGTAGACTTTTCAAACGACAAAATAATCTCAGCACTTCTGTTCTCTGTTTCGTTAGGCACGAAGTTCATCCCTTATCCCCTCTAGCTGTTAAGTTTGGGCTGTTTCGTTTTAGACCAAGGAAGACTTTACATGCTCGATTTTGGACACTGTTCAATTTATAGTGCTCAGTAATGCCCCAAATTCCCGCCTCATAGAGGATGATGGGTTGAACCAAAGACTCGATGAGTCTAGTGAATATGCTATATGGGAATCCTCCTGCCTGGAAGTGTTTTGAACAAAGGGCTGCCAGAGCTTGCTGACCTGGATAGCTCATTAACACACAATTTAAAATTCAGATGCTCATCTAGCCATAGTCCTAACTTACCCTTTATTATTGAGTTCTTAAATATATACTTCTTTATTAAATACCTGAACACGGGGTGCTATATCAGATGCTAAAAAACAATTGACAATAGCTTTTGATTTTTCTGTCAATAAATCCATATCTTCTTTAGTTATACCTCCTTTAGCATAATCAAAACCTTGATATTGATCTCTGTATCTAAATAGAGTTAAACAGAATATTAAGGACGTGATTTCGGTGGATTTATCTTTATCTTTAGATAATATATCAAAATATCGTACAGAATTAAATACACTATGTATGCTTCAATCCTACCCATTTTGTCTGGGATTTACAGAACGCTTGTTTGAATATGACTAAGCCACTTTCTTTATTTGGGTAAAAAATAAAATTGTCGTTTTAATCAAATTTGATGTGGTGTTTTACAACATTATAAACATATAAAGTCATGCCAACAGCTAGAGACCATGTTAGTTAAGTCAATGGTGATTTTGTGTTCGTTTGTCGGTTGTTTAACTAAATTTCGTAAACAAATCAACATCAGCTTTGTATTTCGAAACCAGAACATAATCATATTCGGCTTGTCCCAATCCTAATGGAAACCAGAACACAGCCATATCGAACTTGTCCTATTCCTAGCCTAAACCAGAACATAATCATATCGAACTTGTCCCATTCTAGTTACTTTAATAACGATGTCTGATAGAGGCTAACCTCTCATCTTTACTGTCTGCCCCTATAATTATGAAAACGACGCTTTACACCTCCCCGGTTCTAAGGCTATTTTGGAATCCTAATGGAAATAAAATATTGAGACGCAATAAATGGATGGTTGTAAATCTCGTTTGTAATTCTAAATGTTACAACATAAGATCACGACGATAATACCTGAGAATGGTGTTTTCGCGATCGCGTAAACGCGCCAAACAAATTCTCCGAAACTCAAAATATTGAATTCGACAGAAAGTGAATTTCAAAAATCGCAATTTTATGGTGCGGACATGTGGTAGAAATTGTGGCTTTTAAAAAGCTGGGGTCATTACAATTCCCACAGTTCTGTGGAAGACATAACGATATACCAAATTTGTTACCTGGGCATCGAGAATGCGCTAATTGTGTTAATTTAACAGACCAGAATGTTTGGATGGCATCACTCTACCATCCTATGAATAGGCGATCGTTTAATCAGACAGGATCCACTAGAGATCTACCTAGGTAAAGACGACAACGCGTGCACATTATTCGAAAACATTTATAGGATACAGGTTTCGATACTGCTGTTACCTGCATTTTAATTTAAAGGTCCATTGTAGTGTGGAGTTCAAATCCTCAACCGTTCTCGAGTATACTTTAAATGGTTTATATTTTACCTTGTAACTTCTAACCAGAAGTGTAAATCACGTGGCAACTTGGTTAATGATATAACTTTGTTGTTTAATATAATCCGTGTATCATTGGGTGCTGTAGCACTGGCAGTCGGCACCACTGTATCTTTAGTCTTCTCTATATAACAAACAAAACATTTTTTTTACCTTCTTTTTTTTTTACACAAACTACTTTGCAAATTAATCCTCAATTAAATTAGATTCCCTTTAGGTACACGTAATTAAGGGGTATCTCTGGTTGATCAGCATTAACTAAGTATTGTTGTGTACATGTATATATTGTCTTGTTATATTTTCATATTTTATCATAGCTTGATAATGACTAGAGAAGCCTAGTCGAAACGTCGCTCAGTAATAAGCAGTAATTGTATTCCATAGAATAGTGACCCGTATACGGACAAGAAGACGTTGGTATTTCTTTGAAAAAGTATCACCGAGATTAAGATAGGGCTTTGCTAGTATTATAATGGTGATAAAATTGTGAACTGTATGTATTTCATTCTTCCAATATTCCATTCGTTCATAATTCATTTAAACATTTCTATTATTCTTATGTTTCTATTAACCCTTCGTTATTAATTAGATGTTACTAAGCTACTTATCTAAGGACAAACAGTTGACAGCTGACACATTAATGAGTTTAATTATTATCTTATTGTTTTACATGTATTTTACTGTAATGTCTTTTATATTTTAATCTTTCCCCTTTAATTGTTATTAGTAACCTTGGTGTATATTGTTAATGCCTAGGATGCCATTTTATTATTCTAGATTCCATCCCGTTTCCAGCCAGGACAGTTACTCTGCTTGTCGGACGTGCTGTTCACCGTATATGATGTTTAATGTTTTTCGGTAATAAATAATCTCAAGGATAGTCCCAGTCTTTAGTTATTATCGAAGATTTACACTAATACAAATGGGGAGTTTGCTTTGAGCGTCAAGATTTCGTTCGGACCTCAAACAGCCAAGCGAGAAGTTTATAATGAGCTAGAACACCTTCCAGCAAGATAAATATTCAAGAAAGTGGAATTCGATACCAACAGTACTGACGAAAAAGGAAACCCAGCTACACCAACCCAGAAAAGCAAAAGCGGGAAGATGGCGAAACTGTTCTGGTCATGTAATCCAAGATATCCAGACCATGATGGAAGACATTAAAATATTCAAGCCGACGTCATCAAATGGAACTTTCGATAACACGAGACAATAAAGTATATGGTCTTTTTATCAGGGTAATCGCCATGCGCCATCCAGTTGTTGTCAGTTTAATTATCAAAATCATAGTCCTCGTGCCCCTAAACATGAGTATAAAGTCAAACGATCTGTTTCTTTAAATGTTCAGAGAAATAGAAATAAAACATCGGCTAAAACCGACCGCGACACTAAAAGAAAACATGAATAACAACGTACTCTATAACTTTCATCAATTTGAAGGGTCATTCAGGTGCTTAGAACTTTATGACCTCAGCTGATTTTTGATAATATATGATATTGACTTTTCAACTCTGTATAAACTTCTCTTAAGGCAAGGACTGCTATGATATAATGAAACATGTAATTAATCCCATATGTCATTTACCAACTACATATGATCTGTGCACACGCTCCGCGTTACTTCAAAGGAATACGAACTGGTCAGTAAGCATATCATGACGAGATAAAAGAGACAATTGCATATATGATCATGTGTTATCTATTGTCCGAGGGTATATAATGAGTTCACTGACAGTTAAACAAGACAACTAAAGACGACCAAAGACGACTAGAGACGAGCAGAGACGGAGAGACCGGCGTATGGACTCACCCGAGTTCAGCCGCTGCCTTGGCAGAGGGGAAGAATGGTGGATTTAATTATAGTTATATGTGTTCCTGTCGTAGTCTATTTCCGATGTAGTTTAGTTCATGTTGTATGTATGCAACTGTAGCTGTTTTATATACCTGATGTAAATAAATCATATATTTACTAAACTGTTCTCTATTATCACTAAGGTGGTGTTACACAACTTCCATTTTCGCAAAATTTAAATGGCGTGATACAGCAACAGTTAGAAATTTGGGTAATCGTCGATGGGCGCGTATAATGTTACTCTGGATTTACACGCGTTTGCAGGCGGGTAAATGAGCGTCATGCTAACGTTAACGTCAGATAGCATGACAGATTCGGGCGTGGGTCTGTTATGGTGTGGGGAGGAACCACCATGACTGGCAGAACAGACTTGCATATTGTTCAAGGAAGGGTCACTGGTGTGTACTACCGTGACCACATCCTGGCATCGATAGTTCTGTCCTTTGCTCAACGTGCAGGTCAACGTTTCATCTTTCAAGATGATAATGCCCGTGCCTACTGCGCTCGTGTCATGAATGACACCCTCCAGCGTCACCATATTGTCCATATGCCTTGGCCAGCCATGAGCCCTATAGAGCATGTCTGGGGGGATGATCGGCAAGAACTGGCCGTGGCACTGCAAGTGGAGTGGGTCAGATTGCCCCAAATCGTGATTGGACGGTTGATTAGGAGCATGCCACGACGAATTGCTGAATGTCTGAGGATTTGTGGAGCAATTACTCATTATTAAGACACAAAAAAACGTCCATTTTCACTTTTGATCTCTTTGCGAGTGAAATGGAATCGTCAGATAAGCCTCCCATATGACCTGTTTATGTTCATGTGTAGGCAATTGGCCTGTTATTAACATACACTGGTTACCTCTAATAAAATGAGCAGTGCATTTCCGCAGTTTTGTATTGTTTCTGAATATCCCCTACTTTTTTGGAAGAGTATATATACATGTGTGGATAGGATTTAACCAGTGGGGTGTAACCTTTGTGTTATAACCTTAATTAATCCGTGTAAACTATTTAGTACATAAGGGTGAGTACTAAACAATTCGCTAAACTTGTGTATATTTGGTCGTAAGTAGAACTTAGGCGATATAGACAATTTCTTTTTCAGTAAAATAACCGAATCTATACAAATAAATAAATATTGGAATTCGTCGCCAATTTCGTTTAGATTGCATAATTTACAGGTTATATTTTCTCTCGGGATTTTCTTCCATCGGCCAGTTTCTATGGGTAATTTGGTATTACAAGTTCTAAATCTACATTAGTTTAGATTTGTACATTAGTTTAGTTCTAAATTAAGACTATATTATTATTTAAATAATCTGTAGTTTAAACCCTTTGGAGATGCTGTTATGCTACTATGCCATGATTGTAAAAACTGGTCTTGCAGGGATTGGACAATTCGGGTTTTTAGCCATTTTATATTTAAAAAGCTTTGTGTTACATATATTTATTATACGAAACATTCGTCAAGGATGTTTTTAATATATTTCATCCAGGGTGAATTGCAAGCTTTTGACAGTATGTATAGTTTAGTTGCCAGTTTGTTTTCATCGGTTACTACTTTAGCCCAGTAGCACACCATTCGTACTTTAATATCGATAATTAAGGGGTACCTGCCCAGTTCACCCAAGACTATCGAAGAACTTGTGGAATTATTTAGTGATAATATGTATTTACAATATTTCATATGGATTCGTTCGATATTGGTAATGTTAGAGTACCCCCAAACTTCACAAGCATATAATAATATTGGCTTTACTACTTTATCAAACATAACCAATTTACATTCTATACCAATTATGTTTAGTACATTTTGATAAAATTCCGTACATAGCTTTCATAGATATTTCATTTATTACTCTTGTAGTGATAGTTAAAATAGCCATTTTTCGTGAAATAAACACCCAAGTACTTAAAATTTTCAACAATATCAATACCTGGGTTATTAAAATAAAATGTACAGTCATCTGGTTCTTGTCCATTAGAAATCATTATCTTAGCTTTATGTGTATTCACTTTTAATTTCCATAATAAACAGTATTCATTGAAAGTATTTAGTTGTTTTTGTAGATCCTCGCTTGACTCTGCTAGCAATATAGTGTCGTCAGCATATAATCATATAAATAGTTTTAGATAGGTATATGCAGTTCATTTCGGGCTTTGCTAGATATAGAACTAAGGCCGTTTACATTATTTTTATTTAGAAATTCTTCTTAATCATTAAGAAAATGGAAAATAGAAACGGGGAGAGATTTTCGCCCGGTCGTATTCCGTTGGTACATTCGAAATTAAGCGATTCGTCGCCGTTTATTTTGACCTTGGCTTTAATGTCCTTATAAATATTAGTTATAACATTAAAACATTTCCCATTTATATAGGTATGTAATAATTTATTCCACAAACGTGAGAGAAAACTTTTTAGAATCGAGCAAGTGTGACGTGATATGCGCCCTTATTGAACATCAAAAACAGATCGAAAATGAACAAGATTTTAACGAATGTTACGACTATGATGAAAACGATTTTTATGATAGTCCACCAAATACTTGACCTTGTAACTACGGGGACGATTTTTATGATGGCCCACCCAATATTAGCCCATATAATAATGGTGGCAACGATTTTTATGATGGATCACGCAATACTTGGAAGTATGATAATGGAGACGAATTTTATGAGGATCCATCCAATATGTGTCCATATAATAATGGACGAAACCATTTTAGTAATGGGCCAGCTAATAATTTGCCAAATAACAGTGGACCAGTACATAAAAACAAATTTAGGAACAAATCTTTTAACAAGAGATTTTAATTATTTTGTTTACGTGATAAAGACTGACAATACAATTGCTTTGATAAACCACATACCTATTCCAATTTACACTTTTTTTTAATATTTGTATTCTATATAATTATCGGCATAGTGTGTGTTTCATTATGATTTCTTATATTTTTGTTTTATGATTTTTATTAAACAGGGTGAGGGCACACTATGTGCCGACTCCCATCCGCTTTACAGAATTTATTAATTTTTATTTTTGTACTTATATATATTGATATTGATATGATGTATTATGATTATTTTTATATGGTACCGATTAATATTCTGAGAGTAGGGTTAATTCCGACTCAATAGTAAATGTTTAATATGTCGTAATAATCCGCACAGTGTTACTTAATTAAGTAAACTATATTTTAATGGGTCTTAATCCACCTTAATTACCCCCCCCCCCC